CCCCCAAAAGGTGGCACGACGACTTCGCCGCCTTCAAGGCGGGCGTGCGCGACCTGGAGGTGATGCTCGAAAATGTCATGGCCTCCGCGCTCGACGCCGCCCCCGGCCTGCCAGCTACCCTGGAGCTTCTCGAGGCCTACGCCCGCTTGGCGGTCCGGCCGGCGCTCAGGCGCGCGCTGGCGCGCGCGGCTGCCGCGTTTTACGGGCGCTGGGTGGCGGAGCTTAACGCGGTGAAGAAGCAGCTGGAGGCGCTGCGGCGGGCGTCGCCGAGGGGGCCCGCGCTGCCGAGATACTCCGGCGCGGCGCAGTGAGCGGGCTGGGGACCGGCGGGGGTGGGCGGTCGGATGGTAGGAGAAGAGCGCTCAGGGGCAGCCAGAGGCTGGCATTGAGAGCTGATGGGGGCCTTGTCTTGATAAGCTGATGACATCCAGTTGGCCTGATCACCTGGCAAAACCGCCCGCGCTCGCTTACCCCTGTTGCACCTGACAACACCAACTCAAGTGCGTCTGTGGGTGCTTATTTCAAAGAGTGACGAGATCGCACACCTGCCGACGCCACTCCCTGCGTCTCTGGCCCCAGGGGCGCCACCACGCTGCTGCGCCGGCTGCAGCAGACGCACACCGCCTACGCCGCGGTCCGCCACCTGCTCCCGGAAGTCCCAGAGGCGCCCGACGTGCTGACGTCATACGACCTGACCCACCAGAGCGTGCAGCAGTTTGTGGTCAGCATGCACACCGAGTGGTTTGCCACCATCGACCCGGCGCTGTCACGGGCGCTGGGGGCGCCGCTGCTGGTGCAGGACAGGGCCGACCGTGAGCAATGGGTGGTTGGGGCTTTTTCTGGGCGGCTGAATTGCGGATGCTTTGCTGTAAATCGTGTGCGCTGTCTGGATAACATCAAGCGACCCTCCCTCCTCTCCTCGACTGCATTGGTGTCCAGTGTCATCTGCTGCCCAGCCAGCACGCTGCTTGCGCCCAAAGCTCATGCGCGCTCAGTGGGCTTGATTTGCACTCAATATGCTCCCCAGGGCACCCCCACGCGCGCTCTGCCGCCCTCTCCGCCCCTCGACGCACCCCCCCCCAGGCGGCCTTTTGTCCGTCAACTTTGCCCGGGAGCTGCTGTCGATGAGCGCGGAGGTGGTGCAGTGGGAGCGGCTGCGCATGGCGGTGCCCTACGTGGCAATGGAGATACAGGCGCAACGGGACAAGTACAGGGCCCTGCGGGAGCATGCACTGGCGCTGGTGGGTTGGACAATGGGCGGGGTCGGGCCGCTCAGGGCTCCTGTTATGTGCCGGCGGGGCGGAGGGCACGCCGCGCGGGCAGGAAGGGGTGGTGCGGTGGGTGGGTTGTTGGTCTAGCAGCTGGGGAGACTAGGGGCCCTTCAGGCTCTGTGGCTTGAGGGCCCGCAGCTCTCCGCACCTGCCCCACGCCCACTTGCTTGCACACCAATCATGAGGGCACCCCAAGCGCCAAATCAACCGGATGCACGCCCTTGACAACCGCGCCCTCAACTGAACACACGCAGCACCAAAGCATTTGCCTTGACATGCGCCGCCTCGACACACACGCGCACTCACGTCCGCACCCAACAAAAATCACCCAACGCTCGCGAGATGCACGGCCCCAACAACCCCCTGTAATCAAACCAGGTCCACGACTACAACCGCGTGGTGTCTGGCCTGGACGCCCGCGAGCGCGCGCTGTTCCACGACCGCCTGCGCGCGCTGGACCGGCGGGTCACGCCCGGCACGGGCAAGCTGACCTGGACGTCGGATCGGGCGGTGCTGGAGTTCTACTTCCGGGAGGTGCGCGGGCGCCGCACGCCGGCCGCTCGCGCGGCCGCCTGCAAGCGGAGGACGGCTGGGTTGTGTGTATAGCTCATGCGAGCTTGCGCCCTGCCGGGGTCGTGACTGTCACTTGAGCAGTGGAGGCCAGCCGCTGGTCCACCAACACTGCGCTTTCCTGGGGAGCCAGCAGAAGGCGGGCGAGTTACAAGTGCTGAACATGCCGTCAGTATCATGCCAACATATGTTATTCCTCATCACATAACACCTCGCAACTAAACACGTCAAACTAGGGCGCTCCGCCTCGCCCCTTCCCAGGCCCGCAAGCACTGCCGCGCAACAGAGGCCGTGGTCTCCGAGTTCAAGGCCGGCGCCGCCGCCGTCGAGGCGCTGTGCCGCTCCGTGGCGGACGCGCTGCTGGTGGACGTGGAGAGGAAGCGGCTGTACGAGCTGCCGGAGTTTGAGTCGGTGCAGGCAGAGCACCACGCGCGGGTGCGTCGCTGTGCGAGCACGTGTGTCTGAGGGCGTATGCTTGTGATTTTGTGCGTGTATGTGTGTGTGTGTGTTGGGTGGGGGATAGTGTATGGCAATGGCAAACACAGGGACAAGCATATGGCTGCAGGCGCGTGCGGTGTCGGTCTCCCTGTTTTTGCCAGAGGCCAGTCGCCGCCGACCTTGCCCTGCCGAGGCAGGCCTGACGGGCTGCAGGAAAATCCACCAAATGCAAGAACCCTCTCGCGCTTGCGCTCGTGCTCGCCCCTGCCCTCGACCCCGCCCGCCTCAGGCCAAGGCGGCGCTGGTGGAGGCTCACGCCGGCATTGAGGCCGCCCTCAAAGAGATGTACTCCGCATTTGAGTCGGACGGGGAAGAGGTGCGCAGGGCAGCGGCTGCGTGGCTATCACACAGACTGTCTACGCCGTACAGGGTCAGCCCACCCTTTCTCTGCCACAACCAGTAAACCAGACCTCATCGCTATGACATATACGATCGCCGCCACGTCATTGGCGCCGCCGCCATCGACGCGCAGGTCCAGCGCGAGTGGGCGCGCTTCACCCAGCGCGTTGACCTGCGCCTGGAAGACGCCCTGCGGTCGACAGTGAAGCGCAGCCTGCAGGCCCTCAGCCGGCTGCTCAACGGGGACAGCAAGACGGAGGTGTTGCCGCTGTTCAGGGTGACGATGGTGCTGGAGCGCAACGCGCGGGTGGAGCTGCGGCCGACGATCCAGCAGCTCTTCGACACCGTGCACAAGGCGAGTGTGACCAGGCAGGGGATTTGGGGACTAGAAATCTGGCACAGGGCAACATGTGGGAGGGCGCACAGTGCCCAGCCACCGGCATCTTGCGCACGCCACAGGGCCTGCCGCCCCTTGGCTGCCTATCCCCTCCCCTCCCCTCTTCCCTTCCCTCCCCTTGGCACGACCCAGACCCCTGCGCGCCACCCTCACACCCGTCCACTCAAACTCCACCCCCAACACCCTCACTCTGACAGGTCAGCCGAGACCTCATCACTGTGCTGCACAATGTCCCGCGCGTGGGCCGGCCCCCCACCGAGCGCCAGCGCCGCGAGGCCGAGGAGCGCGGGGAGCCCTGGCGGCCGCCGCGCAGCTTCTACGACGTGGTCAGCGCTGACGAGGACGCGACAGTCCGTGCCATTGTCACAATCACCACCGGCATCACGGGTGTTTCAGAGCCGGTGCAGGTGGGCTGTTTGGGACGTGTGTGTGCACGTGCGGACGTGTGCGTGCTTGTGTGAGTGCGTGCGTTCATTTGTGTGTAAGTGTGTGTGCGTATGTGAATATGTGTATGCGCGTGTGTGTGTGTGTGTGTGTGTGTGTGTGTGTGTGAGTATGTGTGTGTGTGTGTGTGAATATGTGTGAACGCGCGACCCCTATCTTTGGGCGAACACTCCTGGTATTGCTGGTTGTCTGGTCAATCCCTGCATCAGCTCATCTTTGTGTAAACCAGAGACAATTTCGGTGCAGACCTGAAATACTCATGCATTGCTTGCGAGCCTGGATGCAACGCAGCTGCTGCCAAGCAACGCTGGAGGCTCTGCCTCACACCAAAATTCATGCTCATGACCGCCTTGACCCTCCCCAATGACGCCCCCCCCCAAGGCAAGCCTGGAGCACTTTGAGAAGCGCTACAGGAAGCTGTGGGATCAGGACAAGGACGCATACATACGCAGGTGGGCGTCTGTGCGCACGCCCGCGCGTGCACGGGCACATGTGCGTTAGTGTGTGTGCGTGCTGGCGCACGCAAGACATGTGCGCATGCTGGGGTTGAGTCAAAAGAGGAAGTACTTCTGTACTGGCAAGCTACTGATTATGCATTAGCGCTGAAAACGGTGCATAGGTCTAGACGTTGGGCGTCTGCAGTGCGCCGATCAAGCGCACCAACCCTTGCACGTCCCAGGATCAACCCACGACCCGAGCGCCCCTTGCAACTCCCGCCCCCAAACGGCCGCACCTCCTAGGTACGAGAAGGCCCAGAAGCCGCTGAGCAGCTACGAGGCCGACATCAACGAGTTCCTCAACAAGCAGGACGAGGTCGCCCACGAGGAGACCACCGCAAACGTAAAGTTCCTGTTCATCGACTGCGGCCCCCTGAAGCAGGCTCTGGGGTCCCACTGCGACCTGTGGCGCAGCAAGCTGACGGGCCTGCTGAACAAGCAGGCAGCGGCCGAGCTGCGGGCGCTGCACGACACCTTCAGGTGCGCCCTGGGTGCCCCCGACATCCTTACCTCGTTGTGACGGCCAAAGCCCGTAGATTGGGGCCCGCTGTACGCCCTGCCTGCACAGCTGAACCAGACTGGCATGGCAAACCACCTGTGTGTCCTGACGCCCTCTCTGCACGTCTTAGGGGGGGAAACCCTAAACTCTGAACGAAACGAAAATCGCACCCTCAACCCCTCACCTAGGTCGGGCTTGGCGGCGCTGGCGGCGGCGCCCGCCGACCTGGTGGCGCTGGCCGAGGCGGTGGCGCTGCACGGCAAGCTGTCGGAGGACAGGGGGCGTATAGAGGCGCGCTTCGAGCCGCTCAGGTGGGGGCGCGGCCAGCGGAGTGGGGCCGGCGGGCAGGCGGATTGTGTACCCGTTTGTGGGCTGCTCCAGCCTGAAGTCATCATGAAGATCCAATCCAGCATCCACCAATCACGGTACCAAAGCACAACTGCCGGAATGGTATGTCAGGCGCTTTGCAGTGCCAGCTCATCAGGCGCCAGCATCAAAGTGGCCGGAACGTACATCCCAACTTGCGCCTTCCCAACACCAAACGTTCCTGTCATTGATTCATGCACTTCCAGGGACAAGTACCGCGTCCTGGAGAAGTTTGAGGTGCAGATCCCTGAGGCCCAGGTGGCGCTGCTGGACAGCCTTGACGGGGAGTGGGGGCGCTTCCAGGTGCGTGCGGGGGGCACGGGCATAGGCATGGGGACGAGCCCCAGCAGCCCAAGCGGCGCAGGCTGTGTGCAGTGCGGTGCGGAGCTACCCTTTGGGCGTGTTTGCGTGATTCAGGCGCGGTGGGGGCGTGATTGGGCCGCCTGGGTGCGCCGCTCAAATGGGTCCCCTGCCCGCAATGTGTTCCAAGTGACCCCGTTGCGCATCTCACACTTGCAGATCGGGCTGGAGGATGCGGGCGGGCGCCTTGAGAAGGCAAAGGATGCGTTCAGAGAGCAGGTGGGCGCCGCACGGGCAGGACTGGGTGGCAGCAGGGTGGGCTGCTGAGGGTACTGCAAAGCAGCAGCCACGCCGCAACTGGATGACGGTACGGGAGGAGCAGCGGGGTGCGGGTCTGCATCGGCGTTCCGCTACCTCTGGCCACCTTGATGCAAAATAATGAGTGTGCGTTGATGCACTTGCCACATCTGTCATGTCACATCGTGTCATCTTACCTTACCCGTCTCGTGCGCCAGGTCAAGGGCCTGCTGGAGGCGTTCCTGCGTGACGTGGCATCCCAGGCCGAGGAGTTTGAGCGCCTGCAGCCGCTGGCGCCGGAGGGCCCCCAGGCGGCGGGCGCTGCCGCGGGCTACTCGACGCGGCAGGCGCTGGCGTTCGTGGCGCGGTGGAAGGGCAACGTGTCGGCGGGGCGCGCGCGGGTGCGTGGGCGGTTGGCGGATGGGTCAGCCTTTCCAGAGCCGTTCAAACTTATTCAAGACAGCTGCCTTGTCTCCTTGTTTATGTGGACACGTCTCAGCAGTGTTTTGAATACTTCTGCGTGTCCCCTTACAAAAAAAATTAATTTCTGCCAACCACATAAGTGCTTTAGACAACCGCTCAAATACGCCCTGGCTAACACCGTTTGCTCCACCTTCGGCCCAAACCCCCTTCCCCCCTCCCAGGCCGCGGAGATCAAGTCTGGCCTGGACATCTTTGGGCTGCCGGCCCCCGCCTACCAGGAGCTGACCGCCACAGAGCGCCAGCTGGACGCGCTGGGCCGCATGTGGGGGCTGGTGGAGGAGTGGGAGGGCACCTACGCGGGCTGGAAGGAGACTAAGTTCAGGGACGTCAAGGTGGGCATGGGGGGTTCAATCCTGACCCTTTGCTGAGGCCTGATGCGTGCCGCCGTTGGCGGGGGGCGAGGGTGTTGATGTTGTGGTGTGCTGGACGGGAGAACCCTTTGGTGACAGCAGTGACATGTCTGCAGTCATGTTGTGTCGAGGCTCGCTTGCGGTGTAGTTTTGAAAGAGCGCATTCAGGTGGGTAGAAAAACATAGGTGGTGGTTAGTTTGGGCGGCCATTCATGGTTTTTGTGTTTTTCTAAGGCTGGCCACTTTGGGAACAACTGTGTCGCGGCAGTGCAGTGACGCAAGGTTTGAGCTGGAAACAATGCCGCAGTGTTGAAAGCGGCGTTTGATTCCATGGCACATGTGCGTGAGACACTTGGCAACCAGAGGAAACCATCTGCATCCCCCAACTTGGATCACGCACCCGCCCTTGGCAGAACCCCCTACAGCACGTGTTGTTTGTCATCACACACATCACATCCAATACAATTTCATCCACAACTCTGCAACCCAACATCCCACTCATCACTGCTTGTTGCCACCTGCCATCTTGCCCTCAACCCAACCCCGTGACCTCCAGGTTGACGACCTGGAGGAGGTGGCCAGCCGCATGACTAAGGCCCTCATGAAGCTGGGCAAGGAGTGCAAGGCCTGGCCCGTCTGGGGGTGGCTGAAGGAGGCCCTCGAGGCCTTCAAGAGGACGCTGCCGCTGATAACGGACCTGAGGAGCCCGGGGATGCGGCCCAGGCACTGGCAGCAGCTGAGGGAGCACATCGGGCGCGAGTGAGCTGCGACTGCCGGGGGCTCCCCGACTGACATGGGACAAGTGCTTGAATTTCCTGCTTCTGGTGTTTCTCAACCCCATCATTCTCTCCTCAAAGCCCACTCCTGACACATCGGCTTGCGGCAAACCCACTCCCCTTCCACCCGCTCCGCCGCAGCTTCGAGCCAGCTTCCTCCTCGTTCACGCTGGACAGCGTCGTCACCCTCCGCCTGGACACCGCCGCTGAGTTCATCAGCGAGCTCGCGGTGAACGCGGCCAAGGAGGCGGCCATAGAGGCGGGACTGGCGGGCATCGCCGCAACGTGGGGGGCGCTGACCCTGGACATGGCCGAATACAAGGTGGGGGGCTGCCGTGTGAAACAAGTTTGGATGGCGCAGCGAGGGCGTTCACTAAGGGTGCATGCACAAAATAAAGCAGGTTTGGGGAGCGGTGGGGACTGGAGTGGCAGGTGTTGACTTGCAGGGCTGCAGGGCTGGGGTTTGTGGCCATGAGAGGTCGTGGTGTGGGCATCAGGCGCGTGTCGCAGGCATCACGCGTGGCGTCCCGCAAGGCGGGGTGGCCAGGGTGGGCTAGGCAAGGATATATTTATTGTTGGGATGATGCCAAAGGGCAGGAGCGTGTTGGCAATGGTGTCCGAATACGGACACGTAGGGTCTAGGCCCGTGATCAGGGTGATGCAGGACGGGAGTCGATTGATATTGAGCAGTGACTGAGGCCTGAGATCCGTGCTCCCATTCTCATTATCATGCACCCACTCTCCCCCCCCAACGCCCCCACCCACGATGACACCCTCCGCCCCCAGGGCACCTGGAAGCTGCGCAGCGCGGAGGAAGTGTTTGCGGCCCTGGAGGACAACAGCGTCGCGCTGTCCAGCATGAAGGCCTCAAAGTACTACCTCGTGTTCGAAAAGGTGGGGTCGCATGCACGCCGCAGCCCGCACCATTCCGCGTGGCTGGCAAGGCTGGCGCCAGTGGAGGCCGCCACAGAGGGGCGGCTGTGCACGGCTGGGTTGCAGGGCGGGATGATGGGGTCCTGCCTGCTGATGTTGGGATGCCGCCCAAACCCTCACCCCTTCTGCCCTTGCCGCCCACTCTCACGCATCAACATTTGCGCTCATTGGCACCCGCATCTTGAACATATGTTGCACGACCCGCCTGACCCTGCAGGACGTGACGCGTTGGGAGTCGACGCTCGCGGCCGTGAGCGAGGCAGTCGAGGCAATCCTGCAGGTGCAGCGGTCCTGGATGTACCTCGAAAACATCTTTGGGGCCTCCGAGGACATCAGGAAGCAGCTGCCGGCCGAGACAGCGCTGTTCGAGGGCGTCAACGCGTCGTTCGTGCGCGCGATGCGAGAGCTGCGGGCGGCGGGCAACGTGGTCGCGGCGACGACGCGCAAGGGGCTGCTGGCGGCGTTCCAGGTGCGCTGTGGGCCGGCGACATCAAAGGGCCGCCAGGCGCTTGGCTGTTTCCGCAAGTGACTGTTTGAATCCCGCTGCGCTGAGCCGCGCCGCGGCTGCATCGAGGGCTGACAACAACAGCCGCACAGCGGCCATCGACATGCCCAGCACCAGAAAAACAGCGACCAAGCAACCCCTTGAACCTGCTGTCTCGCCTGCCGCCTGCCCAGGGCATGGATGCCAGCCTGGAGCGCATCCAGAAGTCCCTGGACGCCTACCTGGAGTCGAAGCGCATGGTGTTCCCTCGGTTCTACTTTCTGTCCAGCGACGACTTGCTGGAGATCCTGGGGCAGGCCAGGGACCCCCAGAATGTGCAGCCGCACCTCAAAAAGTGCTTCGAGGGTGCGCACACGCTTGCCCGGGCCACGGGGGTTGGTTGGGGTGACACAGAAGGCATACACGGTCTTCCCCACTCTGCAGTATCTCATTGGTGGCAACCGACGGCAAGGCTGATTTGCTAGAGGGGCTCTAACCTCGGCTTACCTACAGGCTCACCTACAGGCTCACCTTCAGACACAGGCGGCCTCCACCCCATGAGACTTGCTGCGTGCCTCCCGTCCGCCCCTCACCGCCCCCCGCTCCCACCCACACACAGGCATCAAACGGCTGGAGATGCTACCCCCCGGCCAGGAAGGGCGCAAGTGCTGGGAGTCTGTCGGCATCACCAGCCCAGACGGTGAATGGGCAGGAGGGACAGGGGGAGCAGAATAGGGGCAGCCATGTGCCTTGCACGATTGTTGTTGCTGCTCCAACACACCCAGCTAGCTACCAGGCCCCCTCCCTTGTATGGTTGCAGTCCCGCCTCTTAAAACCTGATGTTTCAAGTCCCGTCACACCCCCTGCACATGCAAGCGGGCCTAGCCCACATCACAACCCACAACGCACCTGACCAACCACCAGGCGAGCAGCTGGCGCTGGTGGCGCCGGTGGTCACCGAGGGCCGCCCCGAGGAGTGGCTGGGCCGCGTGGAGGCCGCAATGTTCGCCGCCACGAAGCGCGCCTTGGTGCGCGGCCTCGAGGACTCCAAAGGTGAGGCGTCGGACCACGCGCCCAGCGCACGACGGGCGGGCGACCCTGCTCTGTCCAACCCCACCTGCTGTGTCTGCTTCCCGCCCCAACTCCTCCGCCAATACCTTCCCATTATCTTTGCATTTTGGTGGTGAGGGACAGAGTGCAGGGTTTTGTGTGTGTAACCTTGGCTTGCTTAATATGTCGCCATTGCTTTCCCGTTGCATCTCGTCCACCCCAGGCACGAAGAAGGAGAAGTGGGTGCGCGCCCACCCCGGCCAGGTCGTCCTCACCGCGGGCCAGATCCTCTGGACCGCAGAGTGCGAGCGCGCCCTGGCCGACGCCGAGCAGGGCCCGCGGCGCGCGCTCAAGGCGCTGCGGCGGCGGTGGGTGGCCTACCTGGCCGAGCTGACCGGGATGACGCGGGGGCGGCTGGAGGCTGTCGATAGAGCAAAGGTGGGCGCACTCGATCACATCGATCACAACACCGACAACCCGCATATTTCATGGACCCATTCATATCGATAAGGGAGGCACACATGGGGTCGGGCCGTGTCCTGGTGTCTTCTGCTGTTACCGGCACTGCTGACAGTGCTCGCACTGGAGCTAATCACACCCCTGTTGCAACAGGCGTGCCTTACAGCGCCCCTCGGCCACATTAAGAGTGCAAGGGTGCCGGCAGGGCTAGCTGCTGCGATCCAAAACACATATCAGCTTGCTTTTCTTTTCTGACCCTTGAATGCATTCTGGAGCCCAAAGTTGGTGCAAGTACCCCAATACAATCACAAACCCCCCAGGTTGTTGCCCTCATCACCGTTGAGGTGCATGCTCGTGATGTCATCGACAAGCTGGTCAAAGCCAATGCCTCCAGCCCCTCAGACTTTGAGTGGGCCAGCCAGCTGCGGTTCTACTGGGACAGGGATGCCAACGACGCTGTCGTCAAGCAGGTGGGGTGGCATGCACAGCAACAGCTGGGATCAAGGGGGAAACCTTGCTTGCTGGCTTTTGAAAATTGCTGCTTTGTGGGGCTGCTTGTGGCATGCAACTGAGAGAGTGCAAGTGGAGTGCTGCCTGGCTTGCCTGGGTGCCGCGACTTCCGCAACCTGTTGATCACCGCACTGCTCTCCCATCCTGGTATGCTATCCCTTTAACGTTCCAGGTGCTGAGTGTGTTCAATTATGGTTACGAGTACCAGGGCAACAATGGCCGCCTCGTCATCACGCCCCTGACAGACAGGTAATGAGTAGCCTTGGATTGGCTTTGCTGCAAATAACATAAATCTGGGGCCTGCGCATTCAGGCATGCTTCAATCCATTTCAGCAAACTCTGAGCCTGGTGGCCCCGCCGCCTGCCACCCTCTCAGGTGCTACATGACGCTGGGCGCTGCGATGTTCACGCGCCGCGGCGGCAATCCCCTGGGCCCAGCTGGCACCGGGAAGACGGAGACGGTGAAGGACTTTGGGAAGGCCCTGGCGCGCTACGTCATCGTTTTCAACTGCAGGTGGGCGGTTTCTTGGGGGGGCAACAAAAGGCACGCGCACAGGGCGACTTCCGCTATAACAGCCTGCTGCTGTTATAGCGGAAGTCGCCCTGTGCAGTTGCAT